CTCTCTCTCTCTCTCTCTCTCCCTCTCTCTCTCTCTCTCTCTCTCTCTCTCTCTCTCTCTCTCTCTCTCTCTCTCCCTCCCTCCCTCCCCCGGCATGTTTTAGTTTTATGATAAGTATAAGTCCATAGGGTTTATTTGAGAATAACATGAAGTTGATGGCAGTTCGGTACTTCAGTGACATTATTTGAAATTTTTTGGTAGTTTTGTACAACATTAATAAATTTCCTGATATTTATTCCATGGTCTGATTTGAAATTTGTGATAATTTTTTAACAAAGATAGTTTAGAGTTATTTTTGTAAAATCCTTGGAGTTCATGATTGTTTAGTGAAATTTACTCGGCATACGTACAAGGAATTTGACAGAATGGCTAAGTGAAACTTAAAAATTTAACCAATTTACTATCTCAGACTGTTAATTGATACCAAAGGAACAAATGCTAGAACTGCAAACTCATGCACTGTGTAACAGCTATATTTCATATCAACAAATAAATCACATTATGCACAATAAACATCATGCTACTAGCCTACTACTAATAAACTTGAAAGAAATCTGATAACTTTTTAGTGTAAATTGATTTGAATATGCAATTGATTTAAATATGTAAATATAATTGGTTGTCTAAATCCATATTTGTTGTCTTGTTAATTATTATAGAATCATGTCGTTCGAAGGACAAGGATCTACTAGACCGTCAACAACACCAAAAACAGACAGTAAAGATCCACGTTAGCTATATAGGGAGAGAGTTGGTTCCGATACAAAGTTAAATACAAATATTGCACTCAAATTCTTAATGGCGGAATTAGTCGATTCAAACAACACCTAGCCGGAAAGAGGGGAAATTGCACGCTGTGTGAAAGTTCCAGATGATGTTAAGGCAAAAGTTTCCGAAATTATAGATAATGCAAAGAAGAGCAAGGATGAGAAGGAGATGAAAATGCATAACTTGTTGAGTGAGGTGCATATCGGGGAGGATAATGAGGAGCATAACTCAATCTCATTGAGTAGTCAAAGAAGCTCGTCATCCTCCCACGAGGTAATTAGACCAATGAACTCCTTCGTCGCTCGTTCTCCCGAGGAGATTGCCCAAATAGTAGCAAAGGGGAAATAACCGACGGTGGACTCCAAGCTTAAAAAGAAGAAAAGGAAGGATATATTGCGATACATCTCTAAATGGTTCTATGAAGCCAGCAGTCCATTTCATACCGCCACGCTTCCCTCTTTCCATCAAATGCTACAAGCTATTGGCTTGTTTGGAAGTCATTTACAAGCTCCATTGATGTATGAACTGAGTGAGACATATTTGCAAAAAGAAGTAGATGAGACAAAAAAAATTGTTGAAAACTTTAAAAGGACTTGTGTTGTCAATGGTTGCTCGTTAATGACCGATGCATTGAGTGATTGGAAGTCTAGAAGCATCATGAACATAGTTGTACATTCTGCTGGGAGAGCTTATTTTTTGTCTTCACATGATGCATCGGCCGATAAGCACGATACTCGGTATATTTGGGACTTTGTAGACAAGGCTATTGATCAGATATGGGAGGCAAATGTGGTGCAGATAGTCACTGATGCAGCTTCAAATAATATGGCGGCTTCTAAGTTGTTGGTCGAGAAGAGGCCAAATATATTTTGGATGACTTATGTTGCACACAGTGAACTTGATGTTGTCCGATATAGCTAAGATAAAACTCATTCGTAATGACATTTTAATGGGGAGGAGTGTATCAGTGTTCTTATATAATCACACCAAGTCTCTTCAATTATTTAGGGAGTTCACTAAGGATAATCTTGTGAGACCGGGGGTTACGAGGTTTACTATGGCGTTCCTTTCTCTATAGTCATTAAGATATCATAAGGAAGAGATGAGGCAAATGTTTATCTCTGACCAATGGACAGATTGTAGCCTTTCAAGAACATCGGTGGGCAAAAATGTATATTTTAATTGTATTCATTTTATTCATTTGATCATTTATATTTCATTGATTTGATTTTTTTGTATGTTTGTAGGTTGCGGAGATAATTGCTAGCAACAAGTTTTGGGATAATATAGACTTTTGCGGAGATAATTGCTAGCAACAAGTTTTGGGATAATATAGACTTTGCCCTCAAAGTATTCACTCCTCTAGTGAAGGTTCTTCGAAGAGCGCAAGTTTTGGGATAATATAGACTTTGCCCTCAAAGTATTCACTCCTCTAGTGAAGGTTCTTCGAAGAGCGTATGGTGATAAAATCGGTTCAATGGGATTTATATATGGGGACATGTTGGTGGCTATGGAGGAGTTGAAAGTGGCCCATGGGGATGATGAGAAGAAGTACAATCCCATATTAAAAATGATTGAGCCAAGATTTGAGAAGAATCTTAGTAAAACGCTACATAAAGCGGGTTACTTTTTGAATCTTTTTTACTATTACCCGGCTTACACGGACATTGAAGGTGATGGAAGCTTCATGAAAGCCATAGCGGAGTGTATGCATAGACTATCCCGATGACCATGCGACTTTCACAAAGATTGAAGATCAAATACCTAATTATCAAGAACGCCTAGGGTTATTTGGGGATCAATTTGCGAGGCGAGGAGCTACTAAGGGTGATTGTCCAGATAAATTTATGTTCTCATTCAAATTAATTCATTGACCTCTTTTTTGAATTTATAAGTTAATAAATTTTTTCAATTATGAATTGACTAGTTACTTAGTGGAGCCTTTATGGAAACGATACTCCCGGGTTAAGAAAGATGGCAATAAAGATTTTGGGCTTAACAACTAGCTCATTGGCTTGTGAAAGAAATTGGAGTACATTTGAGATGGTAATATTATTTCTTAAATTTTAATCATCTTGTGGCTTGTATTGTAGTATTTGATGATTAGTTTTTTATGCTAAATCATGATTTTATTTTGTAGATTCATACGAAGAAGAGGAATAGGCTAACTCATAAAAAACTTCATGACTTAGTCTTCGTCAAGTTCAATGCAAAGTTGTAGAACAATCATGCCGTTATAGATAGAGATCCTTTAACCACCTACGATGATGAGGAAAGGGTCTCTGAATGGTTGTTGGGTGAGAAGGGAAATAATAGTGATGATGAAGTATTCCCGGGAGAGTGTTTGACTTTTAGGCAAGTTAGAGATATTTCGGGAGCTAATACAAGGAAGAGAAAGAGTGGAAGGTTGCAAATGTATAAAAGAAAGAAGAAGTCAGGATCATCTTCATCGAAAGGAAAGGAGCCGATGGAAGATGATGAGGAAGAAGAGATGGATGCGTTATTCACGGATACGAATGAGGATGACGATCTTACTTTTGATCACGATGAAGATTGATTCTAGACTTTCTAGTTATCTTAGCTTTTATGTTATTATCACGATGAAGATTGATTCTAGACTTTCTAGTTATCTTAGCTTTTATGTTATTATGGATTTGCTCTTGAATGTTAAACAATTATAAACATTATGGATTTGCTCTTGAATGTTAAACAATTATAAACTATTTGTAGCTTTAAAAACTTGTTTGTTTGTTATGATTTGCTTATGTTTGATATGAATCTTGTGAGTTGTGATCTTCCTTCTATATGTTATATCTTATATTATATGTTACTTGCTTTATTCTTTATATGTTATTCTATGTTTACTAACAATGTTTTCTTATTTTGTAGGTCAAGCACCCGAATGGTTTCAAGATGCAATCAAGAATCAAATTTTTACAATCGGTTAGTGACCCTTAACATCATACATTATTTACTTTTTTATATGTTTAGTCTATAAAATTTATAAAGTATGCTTATATTGAATTTAGGAATACTTAGATTACATTTAGGACATGATATTATACATATGCGCACCACCCGATATGACAATCTGATATTTAGTCCATGTCCCCCGATATATCCCCAATTTCCGCTATCCAACATAGATTTCAGCCGTCCGACATGAACCCGAAATCCGACATTTAAAACCTAGGTCCATGTCTAACAGGTTAAAGAAGGGCAGCCCGGAGCAAGAAACTCACGCTATGTGCGGTTCCAGGAAGGGTCGGACAACTTTGGGTCTAATGTACCCAGCCTTATCTTGCATTTTTACAAGAGGTTGGTTTCACATCCATGTCAAACATATGACATTCAAAAATGTTATGCATTATTTTGGTCCTGCTCGGAGACATAATGTAATACGCAAGGACCATGTTGAATAAATGATATCCAGGGGATGATGCTCCCCAAAGGCGTGTCAGACATATTAAACAGTTATGCAATTCACTGAAAATGCAGAAGAAACAAAAAAAGAGCAAATTCCTGTGCAGGTATTTACAAAAAAGATAGTGTAAGCAATATAGTGCGGATGAAAGTCTTCTTTACAATCTTGTATAAAGCAGACTATACAAGAGCTTATGTGGTCTATTTTCATTGTTCTTCAGTTGGGCAGCCACATAGGCAGTCTAGGCAGTAAAATGAAAGAATCTAGATGCTAGGTATCCTCCTGAGCACCAAAAGCTATCTAGCAATTCATAAAACACTGCTATGTGGACATATAACTGTGCAGTAATAATCATCAGATCAGCAACAACCCAGGCCTCAATATGAAGTCAGGTACTAAAAGAACTTGAAGTCAAAATATAAAATCAAAATATCCGCAAGCATTTATAACCTACATAACCACCTTATGTAAGCTGGTGGCAATGATAAGCAACTTCTAGCCTATTATTAAGTATACATACGTTGACTACAAGCATGACCTATGAGAAGACATTATGAAGATCTTACAACTTCGAAGTTTCAGTTCTATAAATCCTATAATAGCTGTTACTCTGCATCCTATATGGATCGCTTCGGCCTATATATTTCCATCTTCTAAGCAGATAGACAAAAAATAAGCACTGAAGGAGAAGCAAAGACATGTCTCAATTAGGCATGTATATCTAGAAACTGACAGCATGACAGCATAGTAATGATAAATTTCTAACGGTAAATTCATTGAAAAAATACATCATGCAGACATTACAGACCAATAGATGAGATGCTAGCTTGAAGTAATGGATCCAATTGTCTTCCCTTCGAGCAATGCAAGAAGATCGTGACTGGAACATGAAAAAATCTGCAATTCAATTACAAGTCGTTTTAAATCTAAAAAATGGTAAGAAATAGACCCTCAGCCGCAACATTGACAAATGAAATAACACGCAAAACAAACTCATGATTCACCTGAAGGTAGCATTGCTGGTTCCAAACGTTACCAAGTCGCCGTCTTTTAAGGCCGTATCCTTATTTCTCACCAGTCTAACAACCTTGCTTCCAGAGTCCTCGCTTACAAAAGTTCCGTACTTGGATTTATCAATGACGCGAACACCCGAACTGAATTTATCAGAACCACAGGTGGCCATCTCGTCGACCACAATCTCGGCATGGTTTCGGGATATCGAGGTATCCGTCTGAACAATAATATCACAATCTACACAAAAATCAAAATTATGTAAAACCCTAAACCCTAACTGGGGAAAGAGGAGGAAATAAAGGAAAAGGTTGGACCTTTTCTACCCACGAGGTATGTTCCTCGCGAGAAAATGTAGTATTTCTGAGCACCTAAAAAATAATCATAATTTCCAAAAATTAAGCATGAAATTTGCAAGAATGGAAATGGAAGAAAATAGAAAGAAAATTGTCCGCGGGAAATTAAATGTAAAACAAAAGGACAGAGCTTAACGAGAAGAGGAGGATGACCTCGAAGAGAATCGGCGGGGATCAGGGCCCAGACCATTGCTCTCGTGATTTTAGAGCGCGATGATGGAGTCCAGGAGGCGAGTTCGGTTTTAGAAGCTGGGGACTGATTCGAAACAGGCAAGGGTTAACTTCACATAACCCCCTTGAACTTTGGGTTTTCCAACCTGGCCACCTGCACTTTGGGCGAAATCCCCCTGAACTAATCCGACAAACACTAATTTATGATTAGGGGCTGTTTGGTTCGTTTCCTAGATATAGGAAAATGTATTTTCATGTACAAAAACACAAGTTTTGAGTTTTTCAAACTTTTCCAAGAAATAGATTGTTTCGCTTTGGTTCGCCAATAAAAATGGTGGGAAACCAATATATTTATTTTTCTTGTGTTTGGTTCGCATGGAAAAAAGGGAAAACTTTTGTTTATATGGCAAAAAGCTGACGTGGCTGTAGTTTTTGTCGATTTCACGAGGTTGAGGAAGGAATTGGGGGAGAGAAAAAAAACTGATGTGGCGGTGATTTTCACCGAGTTTTCCTTCTTCAACTCTAGCGAACCAAAGATGGAAAAAAAACCGACGGAAAGCTTATATCCTACGTGGCCACGAAAAATCTGATGTGGAGACGGTGTAAAACTTTTTCACCGAGTTAAAAAACGAACCAAACAGCCCCTTAAAGAGTTTGTTAACTCTTGATAAGCGGTTAAGAGCGCCTAACCCTTCCGTTTGAAGGGTTTACAATTACTCCATTGGAGGGTGCATTCGGTGCGGATACGGCTTGGATATGATATTTATCATATACATATCCGCTTATCTATTTCGAATACGGATACGGATATATCTCGCTAAAAAAATTCATATCTGTATCTGCTAAAATTAGATACGGATATGGACATACATATGGATATATAAGCAGATATATGTGCGAATACAAAACGGATGTGAGAAAACTAGATAGTATTAAAAAAAATTAGTTCATGTGATACGAAAGACTTTCATTAATATATTCGTTATATCTAAAAAGTTAAAATTAAACATCTTGCTTATCAAAATTAGCCTCAAATCTATAATCTAGAAATTAAAACAATCATAATAGTATGACTAATATACTTTCAGATATTTCATATACGGATTCGGATATTTCACAACAAAATCATATATGTAACCATATTCTATTATTTATAGATTTGAGTAATCATATTCGTCAACGGGTATAGTTATGAATATTTTCTCGGATATATATACGGTTTAGCACCCCTAATTATAGGTAATTTTATGTTTCCATATTTTAATACGTACATGTCAGCTAGCTTGGTTGCTTATTGTTTTACTACTTTACTTCTCGATTGCTGCCTTGAGGCCATGTGAAATAATAGTTTAATATTTGACGTTGAATATTCGTTAAGTTAGTGGCTACCAATATTTTATTAGTTTTTAGGCTAGTTGCTTTGATATTTTTAAATTAATATAACTTTAATAATATTTCGATAATGTAGTTGTAAAGGGTAAGAACCCGTTATTGTTAAGTTGTGGACATTTCAATATTTTAATATACATCAATTTTGACCTGGTGGTTATTGCAGCCATTCTTATGCTTTGGTTCTTGGTAAATAGCATGTATTATTCATTTTAACTTGAACATGTGTTTGGCTTGTACGATTTACATTGTAAGTTCACACCTTTCTTATTGAAAATATTTTGATGAAAAACTCTTTTTCTTTTGCAAGTTCTGGATATGTGCACTTTGAAGAGGGAGTTGAACATATTTTTTGAACAACCATTAGTAATTTTTTTATACTTTTCATAAGGTTAAAATTGATATTTTTGTAAAAATTTAAAAGGATATAGTTTCTTAATGTTGGAAATTGTGGTTAAATCTGGAATTAAACGATGAAATATGATGTGCTGTAATTTTAATCTTTTTCAAGTTAATTGTTGTGCGTTTAAGAAATATTGTGCTTAAAGCAATATTTGGCCTACTCCGGTACAAGGATCACAATGCCAAACTGCTTCCAGGAACAACGGTACAATACTCTAGTGTGCACTAACCCAGTACTGTCAAGATCTCCTCGATCTATAAGACCTTTCGGTCAAGGCAAATATCTCTTCGATCTCAGAACCTTTCGATTCAAAACCTTTCAATTTAAGGGCAAGTTCCTGTGGGCACAGATTCTGCAGCAGCAGCACAACAGCAACAACAACGTCGATCTGACGTTTGTTTTCCAAGCTCACGTGTATATACCGACGTTCGTATTCCATGCTCGCGAGAGTATGTTCATGAGCTGCCCAAGGACGCTATTTATAGGCCTCTAAGGTCAGCTCAAGAGTCACTCGCAATTAATGTAAATGTTATAATTCTCAATGGCAATTAAGAATGTAACATCAATACATTAAAGTGCAAAGTGCGCCTAACAAAGTGTCACTTAGCGCCTTAACCCAATTAGCCCCGATCCCCGACCCATTGGCCCACGACCTACGACCCACTAGAACTTATGAGAGATTAATTCACTAGAACTTATGAGGGATTAATTCAAATAAAATACTTCTCGGCTTGCCGTTGGCAAGTCTCGAACTATGGACCTTTTGAAACACCAAAATATTAACTTTCCACTAGACTACTAAGCATTTATGAAAAATACTTGTATTTAATATATATATATATATAGTTTAAAAACTCATTTTGGAAAGCGGTTTTGACCAAAAAAACCAATACTTAACCCTTCTATAATTGCCAAACATAAAAAAGTTAACCTTTACTTTAGTTGTCTAATCCAAACGGGAATTTAATTATATTTAGCCCTTCATAGGATTACGCTATGATAAAATCCCTATGAATAGACTAATTGTTAGACACTAGAGGGGGGGTTATTAGGGTCTTATGCTAATCTAATCCGATTATATGCCAATAAAAACTAATTAATAAGTTATCCTAGCAAGTATAAAATATAACAACTATATAAGCTAGGATAAGCAATATGAATAATGGGATATATCCTATATGATGAATATATATATGCAAGGATATATAACTAACACAAGGGGTAAACAATATGAAACAAGATAGAGGATGATATGAATAATGAGACAATGGCGATATGAGCAATGAGCACAAATATAAATGAACGCCAAAGCACACTCAAACACAATCAAATGATCACGAAGTTCGGACCTTCCGTCCTACGTCTCCGCTCCCCTCTCCCGGGGAGAAATCCACTATCATAACCGGGTTTTCTACGCTCACCCGAATAACGTTTACACCTCACAGTGTCGGTTTTCAACGCTCACCGATCAACGTCACTCCTCACAATCGATTTTCTAGTTCACCGAAAACTTCACAACACACTCGGTTTTCTAGCTCACCGAAAACCTTACACCACTCACAATGTAACAAATATAAGTGGGTGTGTGTAACAATGAGTAGATAAAATCAAATCAACTAAACTCAAATATAAGATCTAGTTTAAGAACAATGATAAACAAGTATATAAATGTAAAGTTAGAGTTTGAGTTTAGAAAACTTCTCAATTGATAACAAGATGGAGAGATGGAGATTGAAGCCCAAACAAGAAGATAATCTCCTCCACTTGTGAAAACCAAAACAGTTTTAAACCAAACCCTTAAACAAGCTTAAAACAAGCTTAAACTCTTGTTAAAATCTTTTAAACCATTCTCTTGCTTGCTTATAAAATCTGAGGTAAGGGGGTATATATATGAAACCCCAAAGGAAAGAGAAAGCAAAGAAAAAGACCAAAAAAACCATTCTGCAACGGCTATAAGAAAATAGCCGTTGAGATTGATCTGACACCGCGGCGGTCGACCGAAAATATTCGCGGTCGATCGCGATTCAGATCCCAAACTCAGAAAACAGACAGAGACTTCTTCGCTCGACCGGTGCGGTCGACCGATGGAAATTTCGAGCTCTCGGTCGACCGCGACGGTCGACCGACAAACTCTCTGCTGCCCACTGTCGACTGAACATATGAGCGGTCGACCGGTGCGGTCGACCGATAACTGATACTACAAAAAACTGGTTCTGAAAAACTATTTTTCTGATTTTAAAACACTGTTTAAAAATATCAAATAAATTCCAAAAAATGTAAGACTTTGGGGAATGATTGTAGACATGATAATAAACACGCTACAATAACTGGTTTCTAAAAAGGACTTCCCAAATAAAAAATATCATCATTTTGCAAAATAGGCCAAAACATGAAAATGTAAATATGTGAATTTTGACATTTAGGCTAAACCATGTTTTGAAACTTTGCACAATGATTTTATAGACTTAATAAAATATGTTTATGATAATTGTTAAGTCTATAAACTGAGAAAACAATATTTTCATAAGATTGCATATTCTATGCAATAAATACTAAAACACAATAGAGTATGAAATATGTAATTTCATATATATATAAACATAAAAACCCAAAACACATGTATGTATATATATAACTATATATATGCATAGAAACCAAAACTTATGTATATATATAACTATATATATATATATACGAACACTAGACAAACAACATTAGTTATAAATTGTTTGTTAAACATCATCAAAACAAGAAGGCCAACAATCTCCCCTTTTTTGATGATGACAAACAATTTACAAAAAGGAATATATGCATGAAGGAAATGAACATATACAAGATAATACACATGCATATAAACAAGGAATTGTATACTCACAATATTTCTTCCCCTTTGACAACATCAAAAAGGGGACAAAAGAATTAAGAGAGCGAAAGCTCCCCCTATCAATAAGCATGGGTGAGTATCAAACATAAAAAGATCTAGGGATTGCTCCCCCTATCAAAATGCCATATAAAATATATGCAATAAAGGATCATGGCAAACATATGTGAGCAAGCATAGATAAGAGCATGCTAAAAAATTTACTCACATACATGAAGATAATGAGAACATATATGAAAATAGTGTCTCATAAAGAACATAAAAACATGTATAATAGTAGATTTATGAAATCAAAAGAAAAAGAGCATGAGAATCATGCAAAATGTTTTCAAATGAAAATGATTCAATCAAATGAAATCATAAATCAAAATTTAAATCATAAAACCAAAACATCATTGA